AATTTGGGGTGATTGACTCAAGGGGGGGGATCTTTTGGTGCTTCCAGGCTCGTGTGGAGAGGATGGAACAATTCCAGAAGGAAAAAGAAGAGTTGGATAAAGGCTGCAGGGAATGCAAGAGGAAACTGGCCGAGTGTCAGAAGAAAATGAAGGAGCTGGAGCTCTCAGAAGCTGGAAAAGGGAAAGGGGGAGAGCTGGAAAAGCTCCAGGCCGAGGCCCAGCAGCTGAAAAACGAGGAGAAAAGTTGGGAGAATAAATTGGAAGAGCTGAAAAAGAAAGAGAAGAACATGCCTTGGAACGTGGATACCCTCAGCAAAGATGGTTTCAGCAAGGTGAGGCTTCAAAAGGGGGGAGCCTGAAGGTTTTGGGGAGCCCCCCAAGGGGGGTTTGGTGGCTCAGGGTCTTTTGGGTGTTCCCCTCAGAGTGTTTTCAACGTCAAACCCGAGGAGAAGGAGGAGACTGAGGAGCAGAAGGAGAAGAAACACAAAACTTTCGTGGAGAGATATGAGAAGCAGATCAAACACTTTGGTGAGGGGACCTTCCCCCCCTTTTTTGGGTCGATTTAGGGGGGGTTTTGGGGGGTTTTTTGAAGGGGGCCTTCAAGTTAGGCCCCACTCTGCCTCAGAGTTGCTGATTTGAGGGGTTTTCCCCCCTCATTTTTTTTTGGGCCAAGGAGGAGCTTAGTGTGTTTTTGAAGGAGGGGTTGAATGGAACCTGGAGGGGACTCGTTGCCCCCTCCCCCTTTTAATTGCTGATGAGTTTTTTGTGTTAATGAGGGCCAAAACTCCCCCAGGGATGCTGAGACGTTGGGATGACAGCCAAAAATACCTCTCAGACAACCCCCACTTGGTCTGTGAGGAGACAGCCAACTACCTGGTCATCTGGTGCATCGACCTGGAGGTGGAAGAGGTGAGAAGGGAGAGGGAAAGGAGGTGGAATTCCTCCTGGATTTGGGTTGGGATCGTTCCTTCCTCCTTTTCCTGGCCAGGAATTTCTTGGATTTTCAGGAATTGGGTCGTTTCTGCCCACGTTGGGGTTGATTTGGCTGCTGGGAAGCTGGGAAGGGTGGGACTGGGGGATGGTGGAATGAGGGGATGGTGGAAAGGAGGAGTGGGAGGATGAGGGAATTGTGGAAAAGAATAGGAGGAGGAGGGAAGGGTGGAAATCAGTGGGAAAATTAGGGAATTGTGGGATGAATCCTCTTGGAAAAGCTCTTTAGGGTCATCCCACTAGAACTCCAAGTCTTGTAACTCCAAATCCCAGAGCCCAGGGGCCAAATCCCAGAGCCCAGGGGCCAAATCCCACCCCCAAGGCACCAGATCCTGGTGGAATCTCATCCTATCAACCTCATTCCATGGATCCAGCCCACTCAGATCCCTCTGTAGGGATCCCTCCTCCAGCAGATCCCTCCTCCCACCTCCCTCCCCCTCCTCGGGAACCATCCCCAAACTCGGGGCGCCCTCCATCCCCTCCCACCATCCCCCAACCCTCAAAATCTCACCTTTTCTCCTCCAAACGACCCCCTGGGGGGGGGCTGGGTGAATTGGGGGGGTTCCTCACAGCTTTTTTCCCCCCTTTTCCCCCCTCAGAAACACGCCCTGATGGAGCAGGTCGCCCACCAGACCATCGTCATGCAGTTCATCCTGGAGCTGGCCAAGAGCCTCAAAGTGGATCCCAGGGCTTGTTTCAGGCAGTTTTTCACCAAAATTAAGGTGAGGAAAGAGGCTGAGGACCCCGAGTAGAGTGGGAAGAGGGGGATTAAAGGGGGTTCTCACCCCTAATTTCCTCCAGACAGCAGACCAGCAGTACATGGAGGGGTTCAACGACGAGCTGGAGGCTTTCAAGGAGAGGGTGAGGGGCAGGGCCAAGGTGAGGATCGAGAAGGCAATGAAGGAATATGAAGAAGAGGAGAGCCAGAAACGTTTGGGTCCCGGGGGGCTGGACCCCGTGGAGGTCTACGAATCCCTCCCTCCTGTGAGTAAACCCCTCCCCCCTCTCCCCCAGGCTTCATTTTGGGGTTGAAACCCCCCCTAAATTGAAGCATTTCCTCCTAGGAGCTGCAGAAATGTTTCGACGTCAAAGACGTTCAGATGTTGCAAGACACCATCAGCAAAATGGATCCTACTGTAAGTTTCTTTGTCCCCCCCGTGGAGGTCTACGAATCCCTCCCTCCTGTGAGTAAACCCCTCCCCCCTCTCCCCCAGGCTTCATTTTGGGGTTGAAACCCCCCCTAAATTGAAGCATTTCCTCCTAGGAGCTGCAGAAATGTTTCGACGTCAAAGACGTTCAGATGTTGCAAGACACCATCAGCAAAATGGATCCTACTGTAAGTTTCTTTGTCCCCCCCGATTCTTGAGGGGGTTGAGGAGAGGGTGAGGGGTCCCCCAGACCTGCTAGAGGGGAAAGAACCCCCCAAAAAAGAGTCCAACTCCCCCCAAATTGTGTTTCAGGAGGCCAAGTATCACATGCAGCGCTGCATCGACTCCGGGCTCTGGGTGCCCAACGCCCGCCCCGGGGAGGGGGCTGAGAAGGGAGGGGGGGGCAGCAGCTCTGAGCCCCCCTACGAGGAGATTCCCAGGGAAATTCCCAGGGAAAACGGGAAAAAGGTGGCTGAGGAGAGAGGGAAGCCCTGAACGGGGCCTTTTTTG